TAATATTTGTATGATTAATATGTAATAAATGTTGATAGTTTATTGTTTTTATTAACAATGTTATTAATTTTGTATTTTTTAAAATTCCCTTTATTTTTATAAATTGATTCAAAATAATATGTTATTTGAACTTCACTTATATAGGTACTATGGATTCGATTTGCGCAGTGAATCAACTGTTAGTAAACGACAAATGACAATTAGAATATCCGTTTAAACTAAAAGATACATAGTTTATAAATCTCTATTTTATTTAAATCTGCATTTTTATTTCTATTAAAAATAATTTTAAATGTAGCAAAATTTCTTTAAAAAATTGTACTGGTAGTTGATCGATTGGTGTTGACCGGTTTGCTAGCCAATATTTTATTCAAGCGAACCGGACTGGTTGATAATATGATTCTCGACCCATCTGATCAAATTGTCCTGTCTGGTCCGGTTTTGAAAATAATTGGTAAATCGTGATTAATGTTATTTATATTTAATTCATAATATAATCGTAATATTGTTTCCCTGTGCATCGCACGGGCCACGTATTAGTTACTAATAACAAACGTGTTTGTTGTTAAATTTTATGCTTAAGTAGAAAATACATTAATTACATGAAATATCAGTTATCCTATATTTTTTGTTGGCATTTTTTTGTCTTTTATAGTATTTGTTTGAGTCAATTTGAGCTCGTTTTATAGATTTTTCAATCGTTTAGAATGATTTTTTTTTCATTTTGTGCTTTTATTTTATTTTTGCATTTTGTATATATTTCGCCTATTTTTGTATTTTATTTTGTAGAAAAATGTTATTAGGATAACTTCATCGAATACTCAAAGACAAAGCGTTACATCCGTAAATATGGACGAATTTTCAGGAGCTAGTGTAACGTCCATGTATCTAGATAAACTTTCAGGAGCGTAACGTCTATATATCTAGACAATTTTTAAAATTGTAACGTCCATGAACCTGAACAAATTTTTGGCCTCTCTTCAAACTCTTTAAATAGAAATTTGTACCAGATCATGGGGACACTTTGGAACACACCATGAATAGCCCTGGACAATTCCAAGGCTCAGGAAAATACTTAAAACTCCTCGTAAGTAGTTCTTCTTATAATTTTTATCAATTTTTGCTTTTGACTTGTGCTCGAATTGTTGGAGCCGAAGACGTTGGGAACATAAGCTTGTGATTTCTATCGTTTTTGTAAGGTTTCATTCCTCATTTCTTATTGTTGATTGAATATGAATTTTAATTTCAACAAGAATTTTTTATTCATTTTCAGTGGTACTTTTTTCTTATTTAGTTAAATGATGAATTGTGGATTTTTTTTTTTTTGGTTGTGTAAAGCCTCGTTGTTTTTATATGCAAAATACCGAATTTTTTCAAAAATCAGAGTTAAATTTTCGTAAATCATTTTAAAGTTTGAAATTGGTTAACAGACATTACTCAACAAACATCCAAATCATATGTCCTTGGGAATAAACCATCCTAAGGGAATCATATAGTCATAATATCACATGCGCATCAACAAATCTCGATACAATGTCATGTCAATTCAAAACCAAATCTCTAGTCATGCTCAATAATTCAGCTCATAAATAGTTCACCATGATAAAACATAATAATAAAGCGGAAGCAAATAATCAGATCAACACGTCAAACACAATGAACCACTCGTCCGTCCGTCCTTTGTCATCGCCACCAGCTCAACTTGAAAAGGGGGAAATAATGGGGGTGAGCAAACCAACTAGCTCACTGGCATGAACACAAATCATCTAGTCTACCTCCTAGACGGCCCTAGTGCTATCTCATGTGTACACACAGCTCCTGAAGACAAAACCCTCGTCAGAAACTTACCACTAGCAAATCCAATAAGTGGGAGCAATACTCAGTGGCTATTAATAGGAGAACGTCGGCAACATCAATGAAGATACACTCTCATAGACTAATGGTTCACATGCATACATTGATTGTCAAGACAAGCAATTATAAAGAATAACGAACATGGTAAGATTTATCAACACCCACATGATCAGCAGATAAGACGATAAATAGCCCACAGGCTCGAGTAGACTGGTGATGCTCGACTTCCTCAAAAACCTACATTTATGAGAGATAATATATTAATAATCTACCTCACTGCTCTAAAATTAAAGAAAACCCACACTTAATCAAAAATAATGATTAAGGGATTTTATTGAATTTTTCGTGACTTGGAACTCTCGAAAATTTTTATAAGAAAAGACTCAAAAAAGGAAAATGGGTCACGAGACTTCAATATTTTTTCTTGGGTTTCTCTCATTTTATAGTATATTTTTAAAATGGGTTCGGCACGAAAAACGGACTGTCGGAACACCAAAATTTACAACTGGGCCGCGCTGGGCAAAAGCTGCCGCGAAATTGGGCATGGCGCGTGAAATGGGCTTCTCTAACGCGAATTGGGCCGTGACCAGGCCTGCTACCAGCTGTGACTCGCGGGCTGGAGCTGTTGACTCCTGACGGGCCGCGTGCGGGCTCAATGCAGGCGAACACGGCCAGCGCGTTTTCTCCCTTTGCAAAAGGGGCTGCGCGAATTTGGGCTCCGACAGTGGGCTACTGGGGAAAGGCTAGTGGGCCGATGGGCTGCGGGAAAAAGGAGGGTGCTGGCTCAGGAACGGGCTAAACACATGGGCTCTCTGGTGTGGGCTGTGTGCTGGAAACAGGCCGGCTGGGCTGCGAGACAAATGAACATGGCCTGCGGCTCACCAGAACTGAGGCTGAACGGCTGGGACAAGATCCGGCGACAACTTTCGACAATGATTTCGAGCATGCCGAAGGTTCAAAAAATTTCAGAAAAATTTAGAAATAAAAATAAATTTTCAGAGTTTAAAAAACTTATAAAAACTGGGATTTTTGGGCTCGAAAAACGAGACGACAATAACAAAGCTCGAACGAAACATTTACACGAATGATAAGATGATAACGACCCTCCAGATACGTTCTCTATCCTATTCGGCAGTCGGCACCCCGGCTCTTGGGTAGGCGATCAGCAACTAGAAGCTTGATTTCCGAAATCAAGAGTTTCGAATACCCACGAAAATTCACGAAATAACACAACGAATATCACGAATATACGAATCGATACGTAAACTGACCAACCAACAAAAAACAATTTTTCCGAACATGATATAATCGAACGATTTCAACACGAGCGATAATAACAACAAGGTTTGAGCTATATACCTTCCTTCGGGAATCTACAAATTCGGTTGAAAAATTGGATGAGATGAATGAAACGAACGGATGATGGAACCTAAAGCCTCGACGAACATGACAATGCTTACGAATGGTCTGACCATGGACAGAGACTTCTCACGATGAACGGTGGCTGAGACTTGGTGACGAACGGAAACTCGAAAGATCGATGAACGACTCGACTGCGAACGGCGACAAAACACGACATGCTACTCCAACGAACTGTGGCGACGACAGGACTGCTCAGGGGTCGACGACGGCGACGGTCACGGTCACTGGTCGGAGGCTCGGACGCGCGACGAGGATGGTGGTCGCCGGAAATAATGGTGGACGGGGCTGCTGACGGGCCTGCTGCGGCTGTTCGTGGATGGCGGCTGCTAGTCAACGGCTGCTTGCTGAGGAGGGCGCGGTGGTCGGAGACGGCAAGGGATGCTCGGAGAGACGTCGGCGAACTGAGTCTCACGGGAAATAATGGCGGCAAAATTCTTTTTTTTTTTTATATACGCTGCTACTGATATGCAAGAAAGAGAGAGGGCTGCTAACGATTGAGATAGAACTTTCTGATGAAGTAACATTCTCCTTGGTCGAGATTTATGAGCGATAGAGAGACGCACGCAGTCGATAGATCTCCCCACAAAATCTCAACAACGTTTTGAATCGGTCAGACACACGTGGGGAAGAAAAAAGAATGAGGCTGCTGAAATTTTAACTCCAATGGGCCAAGATATTTAACAATTCGGCTTAAAAAAATATCCAAGTGGGCCAATTTAGTAGTTCAAAGGGCCAGAATTTACTTCAAATAAGCTGGAAAATTAAAATAATTTGGGCCGATGTTAATAGCTCAAAGAGTAAAAAAAAAGGCAAAAATACACATCCACGTGTTAAACCCACAACAAGACCAATTAAATGAGATTAAAATTTTAAACGCAGATTTGTGGCCGCATAAAAGTTAATGTCCAAAATTACGAAACTAAAACAGAAGGAAAGAAAATCGGTGCTCAGCTGATTCTCACCGAAATCAGCTCGCGATTTTTTGGAATAAAAGAGATGCAACTAATAAGGAAGATTCCAAAACAGAAAAAATCACCTCTCTGGTATGGAAATGCGGAAATCGTGTCGAGAAGGAGTTTTCTGAATCTCGAGCTCGCAAACACTGTCATTCAAATCTCAAGTCGACATCGATCTGGGAGATTAAAGGTATATTTCGAATATTTTTCGTCTGATTTGAGGTAGCCAATGCTTTTTTCATTGAACAGAATCTAAAAACAAGAATTCGATTTCATCAGATTGAATGTGTATTTTTTTTAGCCAATCCGTTTTTTTTTTTTTTTTTTTTTATTAATCGAGGTTTTTTGTGTGGTAGTTTGTAGCAAAATGTCTCCAATTATGGTGTTTTTGCACTACAATGGGGAGTGGTGTAACAACACTTACATTGATTTCGAAGTTGGTGGAATTTCGGTGAATCAGACTACTTGTTTCAGAGATTTCACAAAGCAAGTTGGAGATCTACTGAAGATAAACCAAATGGAATCAATGTTGAGTTTTAAGTATCAGGTACGAGATGGATATCCAGCAATTAAAATTGATGATGATCAAAGCCTTGGATTCTACATGGATTTGAAGTCAATGGAGGCTGATTACACTAAGTTTCCAGTATGTGTGATTAAGGAACAGAAAAATGCTTTGGTACCAGTTCCACTCCTCATCAATGCCGGTCACAATGAAGTTGCACTGAATGAGTGTATTGTTGCTGCTTCAAACTTTGATCAGTTTGACTATGGGGCTTCAAACTCAATGAATTTTATGGATTTTGCAAGGAAAGCTGCCGAAGCCATGTCATTAGCAGCATCAAGTATTGAAGAACAACAGACCACATCTGGAGTTGTTGATTCGACATCAGGTAATGCGGTCGAAGTGATGCACAATCCATCAGCGGACATTCTTTTCCCAGCAAAACAAGTCTGCAGAAAATGCTTGCGATATATGCAATCAAAAACCAGTTCCAATTCAAGGTAGAAAAATCATGTCCTAAACAGTACTTCGTAAAGTGTGTATGGGATGGGTGCAACTGGTTCATTAAATCATCTAGAGTAAGACAGTCGAGTATGTTCAAAATCCGGGAAATGGTGAATGATCACAATTGTCCGTTTGAGGTGAGAACAAACAACCAACGACAAGCCACGTCAACACTTGTTAGTGAATGCATAAAGGGGAAATTCACAAACGTGAATACAAAATACAACCCTGGAGAAATTATACACGATATGAAGTTGACATATGGTATCGATTTATCATACAAAAAGGCATGGAGATCAAAGCTCAAGGCTCTAGACGAGGTACAGGGAAAACCGGATGAGTCATACGAATACATTAATGAATACCTCCAAAAGCTCTGTCAGTCGAATCCCGGAAGCATTGTGAATCTATGTACTACTGAAGATAAACATTTCATGTACCTGTTCATGTCTCTAAATGCTTCGATCAAGGGTTGGCCACATTGTAGGCCTATCATTGTGGTTGATGGAACGTTTCTGAAGTCTACATACGGGGGGGTTTTACTCACAGCATGTACGCAAGATGCAAATTCGCACGTACTCCCACTAGCTTTCTGCGTCGTGGACTCGGAAAACAATGAGTCATACTCTTGGTTTTTCAGCAAGTTGAAATCTGCCCTACCTGAGAGAGAGGGATTATGCATCGTTTCAGACGAACATTACAGCATTAAATACGGCATATCAAAGGTAATTATGAAAAACACCAGTATAGTTCTTCTTTTTATGGATGACCTGCAAGATAATATAAAATTAGTGTTGACTTTTGAATGATTATGTTCTGTACTTTATAAAATTATTTTATATTTCACTTTACTATAGGTATATCCAGAAGCTTCGCATTGTTTGTGCACTTACCATATCGCCAACAATTTGAGGAAGCACTTCATAATGGAAACAACGGCAGTTAAGAATGCATTTATTGGAGCCTCTAGAGCATATACAAAGGAAGAGTTCAACAAGTACATGGTGGAACTGAAGAAGTTGGGTCCAAGGGTACCAACACATCTTGAAACTATAGGCTTTCACAAATGGGCTCGTATCCACTGTCAAGAAAATAGATACTTCACAATGACGTCAAATGCAGCAGAAACTATAAACTCGGCTACAAAAGTGGTGCGTGAATTACCTATAACAACGTTGCTTGAATCTTTGAGATCAATACAACAGAAATGGAACGTGGCAAATCGAGAGGAGGCGAAGTGTATGTTTACTATCCTGACAAAAAAGCAAACAATATCATTGAAGAAAATTACAAAGTGGCTTCTCATTTGTTTGTAAGTTTATATTATGTTTATATTGAAATAATTTAATAGAATAAGTATTCTGTATGAAACTGAATTTGTGGATGAAACTAAATTTGTGTATATGATGACAGGTCCAGAAGGCAAGCGACCAAGTTTATAAGGTGTATAACGATGTGTATTCACATGTCGTCAATTTGGATGCCAAGACGTGCACTTGCAATCGATTTCAAATGGATGAGATACCATGTCCACATGCCATACGTGTCATCCGATCTTTACATATTGATCCAGTGCCATTTTGCTCCGATTACTACAAGACGGCAAACTTTTTGGAGACGTATGCTGAAGCAGTTTATCCTATCGAAGGTTCGCAAACATTTGATGCTGTGGACAATAAAAAACAGAGAATGGTGCAACCACCTATAGGCAGAGCGAAATCGGGGCGTAGGCGAAACGAACGATACAAGTCTGCTTTTGAGCCTCCTAAAAAGAACAAGTGTGGAAAATGCGACGAGAGGGGCCATAATGTAAAGACCTGCCCAAATCCTGCAAAAATTAGAGGAGATAACCATTGTTGAAGTTGCAGGTTTTATTTTTCAATTATTTTCAAAGTTGATGCTCTGTTGATCTAATTACAAACTGTGAATATTTTTTGAGTGCAACAGATTTGATATATTGGTTTTTATATAGGTTGCGATTGGTCCTTGACCTTGTGTTATATTGGTGGTATCGATTTTTAAACTACATTTTGAAATCGGTATGTATGTGGAGTAGTAGTTTGATATTTTGATATTAGTGTAATTGTGTATAGATTTGTATGTAATTTGATTGTTAAGATACTGTTTAGATTACCCAAAGAGAAACTCAGAAAATACAAAAAGTAAACACCAAATGGACACATAAGATTCTGATAGCAACAACCATGAAAAATCCAAAAAATAATGCAAGAACAACATCAAAACGTGCCAAAAATATTGTCAATTCAAACAACTACTAAAAATAAATCAGTTATTCATAATAAAACCATCATCTTTTTCACAAGATATAAAATAGTTTAGAAATTGCACAAATAAACACATAAATTACACAAGTACAAAAAATATTGGGACCTGATAGTCATTGATAGACATGAAAAATATTACAGGTAAAATACAGAAATACTACAAATATTCCTTAAAACAACATATGAATTGCAGAAAATGTAATACAATACATAAAAACAACAAGAAATAAACCTGATAACATACAATCATTCAAAACATGTCCAACATATTCCATAACACACCATGCCCAAAAAGGAGAAACACCAGAGTTTAGTTTGTCTACATAGTCGGACAAAAATACATGATAGAAAACAATATCAACCAACATCACTAAACAACATCAAAATTCCTAATGCTAATTAGTAGGGGGAACTACTAGCGAACTTCGATAATTTGCCGGCAACGGACCCGGCGAATCATCATCACTCTCGGATTCTTTTTCCTGCTTCATTTTTCCATGTGTGTACAATAGGTATGCAAACCTTGACCGCTCAACATCAATGTCAAAGGTATCAGGATTGATGGGCTCATTAGAAACAAAATACTCCGCAAAAGCAGCAACAAATGCACCACAATCACTGGCAAGAATGTAAACAAAAAATATAGAAAAAATGTAATTAATAGTTAAATAAAAAAGAACATATCAAAGTTGTAAACTAAATTAAAATACAACTTACCAGCATTGCTGCCGGGGCAAATCTTCCACGAAAATGACATCAAGAGGATCATTCTCTGCCTTGCCCGAGTAGGGACCAATGTTTGTTTTGATGTCAGCACGTCTAGAGACAAAGTGTACCAAATCAAGAAATATGGGTATCAATATGGAATATCGCTTAACACTCTCTAGCACAACCTGGTCAAAATCAGTCGATCGATAGGAGTTATAAATCATCAACGTCCTAGTTGCGAACGACAACCTCCCTAATATCCAATGGCCTACGCCTTGCAATTCAACATGAATCGGAAAGAGTAAGTGATCAACATTGAGCCATGACTGCCCACAGATAATTTTGAAGCCAAACATGTAGTCGACAATGACACTATTGATCGTACAAATCCGGGGGTCACATGAGTTAACAATGTACAAAGAATATAGTGACTTCATTTGTTGGTCGAAAAAATTATCAGTGGTAGTAAATTTCTGAGACGGTTCAAGCGCATACAGTCCAATCTTTCGGATGTAGTAGAACAAAACATCAATATGCTGAAAAATAAATATTTAAAAATTAGTATGCGAAAAAAGAAAAAAGGATGAAGACCATCACAGTAAAATGATACTTACACTACCGTCAAGGAAACAGTCGGATTCATACAAGGTGTAGAACCAATTCTTATCAGAAATCACGTCAACGTTAAAATCAAATGGGGGGCTTAAGGTTGTATGCTTCTTGTCATAGAACAAAAACCTTTCAGAAGATGAATTAAATTTAAAATAAGAAAAATGAACAAATGAAGAAATGCAATAAAAACAACAAAATGAAAGTACATACCGGCACTTACAAATAAATCATCAGTTACATCAAAACGTATCGTGTCCCAAAAATCGGTGTCGGAAGGGCATGACTTACAAATAACTGGTCCTTTTTTTACACGTTTGCTTTTCTCAAATGGAATGTCGACTACCGGCACTTGATCACCCGCATTCTGGTTAACCTGTGAATAAAAGTTTTTGGTTTATTTTTAGGACATCGAACGGTAAGATAAACTGTGAATAAACTATTTGATTTCAATTCAAGGAAAACATGAGGTTTATTTTTAGGACATCGAATGGTACGATAAACTGTGAATAAACTGGCTGATTTCAATTCAAGGAAAACATGAGGTTTATTTTTAGGACATCGAACGATAAGATAAACTGTGAATAAACTATTTGATTTCAATTCAAGGAAAACATGAGGTTTATTTTTAGGACATCGAATGGTACGATAAACTGTGAATAAACTTTTTGATTTCAATTCAAGGAAAACATGAGGTTTATTTTTAGGACATCGAACGGTAAGATAAACTGTGAATAAACATTTTGATTTGAAACCTTATGCACATCCATTGCACCAACACCAACCAGATAAATTGAATATATAAACCTACACACACACACACACATTTGTTCAAATACTTTAATCTTTAACAAATGACTATAACCACAGATAAACCACAGATAAACCAACAAAAAACAATATGCATAAACAAGGATTACTGATTTGTTGGCAGTTTGCATGCTTTTCAATTTCCCCTCGGTCGTCCTATCAATTTCATCAATCATTTCTGTAGTCCAAAGAGGGAAACCATCATCATCAAAATCTTCATTACGTTCACCACTCCCTTGTACAAACTGAAAACATATCAATTAAACAAAAAAAGGATTACTGATTTTAAAGGTAGACAAAGCTGTGATCATAGAAATAAAATCGAATATAGACTCACAACTCCACCATCAACTTCCTTGTGGATCCCAACGTTCTCTTGTTGACGACTACTTCCTGGAACATCGTTGGACTTAGCACCCTCTCCACCATTTAATCCCTTAAAAAGTAAACATAGTTAACTTAGATAAAAAATAAATTATGAAAACACAGATGATACATAAATACATTTAACTTAGATGTGTTTTGTTAATAAGGAAAAATGGTAGATTGAGCATAAACCGTTTGAGGAATATCTTGGTTATCCACATCATGGGGGAGGTCTTGTTGTTTACCACTTTCTTCATGCTGATACATAGTTAAGTGAAATATTAAAAAAACGAAACACATGTATATATATGTAAAAGTAAACCAACAATAAACCAATTATAAATTTACCAGCTTTGTTTCTTTAAGGCTGAGGATCTCATGCATCACTTTAGTCGAAAAGTCGGTAAACAACTTCTTCAGATCATCAACATCATTCTTGAATAACTTTTTCAAATCATCCAAATCATCCATAATCTTCACTTGCTTTGAAGACAGCTCGTCTAAACGTTGTATAATAGGAGACTCAGTTGGACCGGGAACAGGGAATGTATGAGAACTTTTAGTTTCATTACGGAAGAACTCGTTCCTTTCGACAAAAAACCCGTCCAGCTGAAGCGTCATCTTCTCCGATTCGGTGGGAGTTATATTTTTGAACTGAATGGATAAATACCCATAAAAAAATAAAACAACTTAGAGCAATGTTGTGAAAAGATAACTTAATAATAAAATATTATAAAAAGGGGACTAAGAGAAACCTTATCTGATGGCAAGGTCAAGAAAACCCTCTCGATGAATCGTCTACCACGTGTCACATGTACCTCCCAATTTAACATCCGTGGTACATTAGAAACTGCAAGACGAGTACATATGACTCCATCTGTGCTATCACACACCTCATAAAACCACAACTGGAGTGATAGAATAAACCCTCGTATCCTATAGACATATACTCTTTTTTCAGTGCCATCTAATTGCTGCAGCAAAGTCTCCTTGTTACGAGATGACATCTTTAGATAATCAATGGTGTAGTCGTACACCTCTTTACCCCACGGATAATTATCACAGTCTTGGCTATCAAGAATATCTAACAAACACCTATCAAACAAAAGATTATCCTGAGCCCCCATGAGAAAATTTGCGAGCAAGTGAAGCTTGGCAAGTTTGATTGCATCATGGTCGTTTATCCACGCTCTGTTAAGAAACTGCCCTTTAATAGAATGACGGGACAAACCAACATTGGCAAAATATCTATCAAAAAGACCATCAGGGACAGGAGGAAAACAAAGTTTTTTACACGAGCCATTGCATTTCAGACCACTTATCACAGCGAACTCCTCGACCCCAAATCTCATGATCTTCCCACCAAAGTCAAACCACAGTTCATCCAACCTCGGCTGGTGTACTTCTCGTAATGAAATCAAATTGAGAAGTTGGTTCTGAACCTTACAATGAGGTAGGTCAATAAATTTACCAAAAGCAGAATTTCTAAACATCTCCAATTGATCATTCGACAACAGACGCTTAATGTCAGCAATAGGCGTGGTAGAACGACTGTTATCATTGCTGTTGATTATCTTCACGGTCAATGCTCTTGAGTTTGGAACAATCAATTCCCAATCCTAATAAAAACAACAAACAATTGATACCGACAATAACACTAAAACATATAGGCTAGATCTAACTAGTTTATACAGACATAAAGATTTGTACCTACAATGACATTCTTTGCTTGTCAACATGCATAGCAACAATTTTAGTGATAATCAACAAACAACATGTATAGCAATAATTTTAGTGAGAATAAACAAACATATGAAATAACAAAAAATTGGACAAACTTAAACATAAATTATAAGAACACAGATAGTAGGAAAACATACTTCTAAAGGAAAAAAATACCTTGTGTTCTCTTTGTGGTTTATTCCTGACATCTTCATCGTCAAGCTCGGAACAAATCGATTTATGCCTATGTGTGTTGCCCTTGGACCTCCTCGGTACTGATTTGCTAGCCTCAGAGCCATCCTCACTTTCTTCTTCGTCCAAAGAAATGCATTGTTCAACTTCAAAATCAGAATCGATGTCTTCTGGATATTTAACCTTCCTCTTCCCCTTAGCATCGCCCTTGACCTCCATTGGATTATTTTGAGAAAATCGTTTCTTCTGAGCACTAGAACGAGTAATCGGGCGTCTGATATGCGATTGATCTTCCAAAAGTGACTTTCTCTCCTTTATAACAACGCCTTGGGTCTGCTGATTCTTCTTGGCAAACGGAATTTTCTTTTGAACGAGCCTTCGACGCTCGGGAACTGCAACCTTGGGATGCTTTTGCTCCATAGCTCCTCTGCCTTCAGATGAAGTATCAGAGACATAGTTTTCGTCCTTCTCTCTCGCCATCTAGATCGAGATTTGTTTCCAGAACTTTGCTTTGAACATATTAGGGTAGGATCTGAAGAAAAGGTAATTATCAACTCCACTGCAATTTTTCGATATGCGTGTGTGCAGGTTGCGTGTTTTGGTGGAGGAGATAATTACAGAATCTCAATTAATGATAAAGTTACCGTTTTTTATTCAGCTAACTAATGACTAATTAGAGGTGAGAAAGTGGATTGAATTTTTGCATAATTTCGTAATTGGGGCTTTGAAAAATTCAGATGTGCGAAACATTTTAGAATCTCGTATAATGGGCTTCATAAAAACCTGAGCTCGTGCGTAGGGTAATTTTTTCAAAAAATCTAAGTGGACCGAAAGTTTTGAAATAAATTTGGGCCCAGTATTAAACTCGAAGCTCGCTTGAAAAAATGGCTCGAGAATGCAACGAAATTCTAACGAAGAACTCGGACAATCAAACTAGGAATCAAATATGACATAAAAGACAAGGCACATACAATAATAAACCAAGCATACAAATGGAAAGAAGAGCAAGCACATAAATAAAATAAAACAAGCAATGCACATAAAATAAAATAGAATAAAAGCAAGCATTGATGATAAAATAAATACAGACAATCAATAAAATGAAAGAAGACAAATAAATAAATAAAAACAAGCCAATTAATGAAATAAAAATGCTAAAACTTACGAGAAGCAAACGGGACACTACAATCTACCCTCCTTAAAGGATTTTTGTACTCGGAAATACTAAAGAACAAGGGGAAAACAAATGCGACCAAGGAATAATAGATACAAGAGAGAAGTTGCATGCCATCGCCACCAGCTCAACCTGAAAAGGGAAAATAATAGGGGTGAGCAAACCAACTAGCTCACCGTGCGAATACGATGCAGTCTATTCAGAATAATGACTTAAAATCATAATCGCAGCATGAACACAAATCATTTAGTCTACCTCCTATACGGCCCTAGTACTATGAAGGTTGCACGCCCTGCATACTATAATGAAAATAATGCAACTTTATTTCTTAGTCACACTGTGAGGTTCTGAACCTAATGATACGTGGAGCGCAAGGAATAAGTGCCAACCTCAGTTAACATCCAGGTCGAGCTTGGATCTCCAAGATACAACAACCGGACCTCCAAATCAACCAGATCGAAGAGCTCAGGCTCCAAATCTGCCGCCGCACTGTGGAGGCGGAACAAGGTTTTTCCCCTTTTTTCTACTTGACGTGCAACCTGATGAAATTGGGAATCAATGGTCCTTGTAGGGAATATCAATTGGCCAGATGAATGAATATATGGGCCTGTTAAACTTTACAGAAAAATAGAAACACCCGGGCCAAGAAAAGAGGAGTGATAAAAAAAAATTGGGCCCGGATGACAGAGATGGGAAGAAAAACAAGCTATAACCATGCTATACCTGGTTAGCGCCGCTAATTTCAATCCAGTAGACTCAGACGCACCCCGTCTTAACCAATCTGGACCCGATAGATGAATATGTGCTCTTGTAAAATTATTTATAGAGATAGATGAATTTTTAGTCTTGTAAAGTTATTTATAGAGATAGATGAACATGTAGTCTTGTAAAGTTATTTATAGAGAGTAATGGCTATGGCCCTAAAAGTGTTGTAATAGATAGAATTAGGCTGGAGTAATGAGTAAACGACTAAAAGTCTCAAAGTCAAGGAGCTCGGCAGGGGCCTGAAGAATAAAGCTCTCTAGTCGGTAATATTCATAGGCCTACACTCTGCACCGACCCCAGGTAATCCTACTCTCAATATCATTATAAATACATACATACATGCATACATATATGTATGTATATATACATATATATATATATATATATATATATAAAGTAAATATTTACACGTATGTATACATACACTAAAAAAATGTAAAAATAAGAATGAAAGAGCGAAAAGATATAGACAACAACCGTTCATCGATGGATCCCCAAATTGTAACCGGCCCGACCACTTCGTCATCCGAATCAATCCACCAAACCGACTGACGGACGACCAACCTCAAAGATTGCCTTGCCCGAAATCGCGACCTAATCACGGACGACGTAGCTAATCGCCATAAAAAATCGGCCGACTTCCATAGACAGGCTGACTTCATCGCTCGGCCGACCTCAACACTTGTTCGACTACTCAAGATGGGGACAATTTCTCAACAGGGCCCAGACTTGCAATTGGGGCCCGACCTCGGTGCTAGAAAAGCAGAATTCACTCACCGATAATTTCTGGTTCATTCACTCTGAGTTGGTTTATCGTTCACTCGTCGACGGGAGCAGCTTTCTTGGATCGAGTTATTATTCGTTTGCAGACAAGCCCAGTCCCGCTGGACCGATTCATCATTTACTCATTTTCAACCGCATTCATCAATGCCGGGGCTAAATTCACTTACCTGCGACGGGGCTGAGTTCATTTTTCAATGTCGGGGCCGAATTTATCTATACCTGAGACGACGTCCATATTTCCTTGCCGTAGAGCCTCGACTCCGACTAAGCCGACGTACATATCTTCCTCGCCGTAGAGACTCGACTCCGGCTGAGCCAATGTACATATGTTCCTCGCTGTAGAGCCGACCCCGACTGAGCCGACGTCCATATCTTCCTCGCCGTAGAGCCTCGATTTTGGAGGAGCTGATGTCCATATCTTCCTCGCTGTAGAGACTCGACTCCGGCTGAGCCAACGTCCATATCTCCTCGCTGTAGAACCTCGACTCCGATTGAGCCGACGTCCATATCTTCCTCGTCTTAGAGCCTCGACTCTGGCTGAGCCGACGTCCATATCTTTCTAGCCGTAAAGCCTCGACTCTGGCTGCGCCGACGTCCATATCTTCCTCGCCGTAGAGCCTCGATTCTGGCTGAGCCAACGTCTATATTTTTCTTGCCGTAAAGCCTCGACTCTGGCTGAGTCGACGTACATATCTTCCTCGCCGTAGATCCTCGACTACGACTGAGCCGACGTCCATATCTTCCTCTCCGTAGAGCCTCGACTCCGGCTGAGCCGACTTCCTTATTTCCCTAGCTGTCGAGTCACTACTCCGACTGAGCCAGTGTCTATATTTTCTCGCCGACGTCATTATTTCGCCTGCCGTCGAGCCTTCGCTCCGGCCAGAACGACGTCTCCTCTTAGCCCGCCGTTGAGCTCTTGCTCTGGCCAGGCCGACGTCTCCACCCGGCCCGTTGACGAGTCCCAGCTCTACCGGGTCAATTTCTTATTTGTCTAACGACGAGCCCTAGCTCTACCGGACCGATTTCGTATTCGTCCGACGAGCGGACTGATTTCTTATTCATCGCGACTAGCCCGGCTAATTCGCGCCGGGGCCGATTATTTATTCACGCAAAAGACTGAGCTCAGAAAGACTACAAGTCGAATGAAACCCTATGAGGGTAAACGTCCGAGCAACATTAATTTGCTCGGCTGAAAACGAATGAAACTCTATAAGGGTAAACGTCCGAGCAACGTTAATTTGCTCGACAGAAAACGAATGAAACCCTATAAGGGTAAACGTCCGAGCAACGTTAATTTGCTCGGTGGAAAATGAATGAAACCCTATAAGGGTACATGTCCGAGCAACGTTAATTTGCTCGGTGGAAAATGAATGAAACCCGATAAGGGTAAACGTTCGAACAACGTAAATTTATTCGGCGCAAAATAAAACGACTCTATAAGAGTAAAATCCCGGACTCTGAAGCAGTTCGAGAAGGCTACAAGCCCGATAAAGTACTTTTCAGTAATAAAAACCGTACTAAAAAATAGTCCGGCAAGACAAAATAATAGTACGAAAGTACCTCAAAACAGTTTTAGTTGATCTCAAAGCTAAACGGCCCAACGATATATAGGGCAAGGTAATCTTATTTACCGAACATCCATCACATACATTCATCATAAACTCAAGCATTCATCACATGCTTGCATTACGCATTCACTTATGCATGGCATAAAGAGCTCAAAGCTCACTAAAATAAAGAGCCCAAGGCTCAATCGGACAAAGAGATAAAAGCTCACTTAGATAAAGAGCTCGAAGCTCACTCATGTCAAGAAGCCAAAAATATATTCCTGCGAGAAACAAGGCCAAAAACCGGATGCCAAATTATCCGACCAGGTCAACATAAAGTACTAAAACAGTTAATCTATTAATTTTTTAGTCATCCCAATACGACAAAGAATCGCAAATACGGCTTACTTAGAGTCGCCAAGCAAATCATTTCAGCGAGTATCTTCATACCAATCGCTAAAAATCTAAAGGGCACGAGCGCCCGCACAAATCCAAGGGGTCTGAGCGCCCGCACAAATCCATACCATAGCCATCATTGCAAAATCAAAATCAAACAAACGCTTTGCATTGCACAAAACGCAAAGATGGGTGCCAAATTATCCAAACTAGGCCTTTGAGGCCCCATTCAATAGCAATTCTAAAGAATTGTCCATCCACTCCACTAACTCAACTCGTCAAATAGTAACTAACACAAATTCATCAGGCCAAAGCCTAAAAACAATCAACAAAGTACAAGGGTCCCAAAGCACCCAGAAATTACATATCTACACACATCCATTCGTAAACGTCGATAAGATAGAAAGTTGATCTTATATAACACAAACGTTATTTATCGCAGTGCAAATAGCTCTAAGCTCAAAATGTTATAGGTAAAAATCTACCAAATTGTATAATAACGCGACTTCAGAACAGTTCTATCCAAAATATGTCCTAACCTCGGGGGCCTATTAGTGATACCCAATTTGGCTACGATTAATAAAAAGGCGACACGTGGAAAAATAAATGAGGGCTAAAATATGTGATAAATAAATATACAAATAGCAGGTTCTCCAAGCTGATAATTTAATATCGACCGAGTCCTCAAACATCAAGAGCGTGCACATTCGAGTCGAGCAGAATTTAATATCACCAGCCCAACCCAGATACAATAAAGAAGTCGCCTTTTGAGAACGCATACTACCGACAAGATAGACGTCTATCGAAGCTGTAAAGTGCATAATTGGGTCCCACACGGGCACAACACATTAAAATATCATTTGTATTATTTTATTTTCAATTATTCAATGACCACATGTTTGGCCATATATATACTTGGCTAGAATCATTGTAAAAAATGAAGCCAATCTTATCCAAAGAAGAAAATATCGGAAGAGAGAGAGAGAGAAACATTTCCTCCAAAATATCAATGAAAAATAAGTTTCATCTTCATTCTTTTTTATTCTTGATTTTGTATAGCTAAAATCATATGTTTATTTTTGTGAACCGAGTACCCGGAGTAGGGTACAGTTCATCCCTGCTGCTGACATTTTTGATCATCAACACTATAATTCTAAAAAAAATATAGGTATTATTTTACCAAAAGCACACTAGGGGGAAAACAGGTTGTACTGGCTATGAGTTAGTGCTCATGGATTTAGAAAAAAAAAAAAAAGATAATATAGGTATTAATTGACTTCAATGATTAATGATTTTCTAGCTTCAGTAACTCTTGAAATTGCTCAAGCATTAATTTGCACTCAAAATTGACTTCATAGGCTAAGTCATGATTCTGATTCGAGATTTTCCTCATAGGAGAATTTATTGAGAATATTAAACAAGGTGATTAAAAATCAAATTGTTTTGTTCGGATAAAAAAATCATAATTTTGGTTCGGATAAAAATTCAGAATTAATTGAGAAGATTAATTATTTATTGCGACTAATTGATAATCGAACTGAATCGACCGTTGAATTTTCTGTTAAAAACAGAACCAAACCATAAATTTCTATCAATTTTCAGTTTGGTTTTCGATTCGATTATGTTTCGACCGAATGAGCAGCCTTATCATCCACAACCCAACTCCATCTAAAAACTAAAAATTATTTATATCTCCTCCACTTGCATAACCCAACCTTCTAACTCATTAGACATGGTTACGGGTCGGCCCGGCCCACCAACACAGCCCGGAATCGACCCGGATTGGCCTGGATACGTCGGTTTTTGAACCGGACCCTTAGCCCTTAAGGACACCAAAAAATGCTTCAAATAACACTTTTTACATAACGCTTTTTTAGATAAGTGTTATGTAAAAAACGTTTAACTCTTAGATAACACTTAATTTAACAAGTGCTATAAGAAGAGTTAAAATACATAACACTTCTTTTAAAAGTGCTATATAAGTTATAAACTTATTCATATTATAACACTTCTTCTAATAAGTGCTATGTAAGTCATAACACTTATNCCTAACTACGACAAGACCAACACGGTTATGGGATATGACACCTCTATCACATATATATCACATGTACAACACGGTTCTCTACTTCAATATATATAATAAGAACAAAAGTCTAATTTATAATAAATATATCATACTCAAACAAAATATCCCGCGAACAAGCAAGCAGTCTGAGAAGAGCGAACAGAGTTCTGTCGTCTGTGAACCCTACTCGGCCTGCAACACGAAACATTCTCGGTGAAATTTATCTTCAATCGACTGAAAATAAGAACAATTCCTTGAGGACTTTATCTTCAACGAGCAAACACAAAAAAACTGAGAAGAACAAACAGAGTGTGAACCCTAATTCTCGGCTACTGCAACAAGACAACAAGACTCATTCTTGGCGAATTTTATCATCACTCGAATGAAAATAAGAACAATTTCGGATTCAGGTACTCGAATTATTCCTTATGTTGTGAAATATGCCTTAACTAGAACATGTTATTTGTTTTTTCACATCACTTATGATGATTTTTTCTGTTAAACTCACGAACGTAGGCATTGAGGGAGTATTTCTGGAAATATTTGAATAAATTGCTGCTGATGGGTGTCAGAGTTATAGACTGAGTTGTATTGTTTTGATATTAATTTTTTAGAATGGTTGTTGAGTTTATTTTTGAGGATATTGCATTTGTATTTTTTTTTTTCAGTAGCCCAGTGATAGTTTCTTTATTCTTTGCCTGCTTCTAATCATTTGGTTGTGAATTCAAGGGACTTGTGGTGATGATGCTAAAAACTGGTTGATGAAAAAAGGCCGTTTATGGTTGATGAAAATTCAAGGGCCCTTTATGTTTCCAGCCCTAGTATATAATAGTAGGAGTAAAGGGCATATCATTGCAATACGAAATTGTGTAGCTGTGGCCTAGCTAATTTTGCATAACTTTATGCCCATTATCTTGCAAAATCATAATCTTCACAATCTTAAAATGCAAGTAGATGAAAGAGTACTTGTATGAGAAATGGGTCATGGGGAGTGGGAATAAAGGCCATTTGTTGTAAAGGATTGATTTTGTGGATTCTTGAATAATGTTTTGTGTTCTTATTTGAAGTTGTGATCGTACAGTATGAGTAGCTCCTTAAACTTTTCCATATTGGCTACTGCATTATAAAGTTGATCTGCATGTGAAATATTCTCCACCTTTGATTGATTTGGCTGCTTATTCTTTCTTATACTTCAACCTTCCTATACTATGTCTTTTTATAATTACATGAATCGGTGATATATTTATTTTATATTAAAGTTTATGTTCATTGCATATGTAAGAAAAGAAAATATTATAATGGAATTGATCAAAGCTATACTTGTTGGACTAAGCATGGTGAGATGAGAAAACAATGTCCTCATCAGAAAGATAATGTGAATTATCCAACAAGTCAATGCTATGCAGATGTGGATTACGAGTCTGACCAACTTAATGAGATAGCGGATATGGTCGAAGAAGATCTTCGTGATTGTCCGGAGATGTTTGATAGATTGGTAAGCGATGCTCACAAACCATTGTAGGATGATTGCACTAAATTCACAAGATAAATGTTGTCTTGAAGTTATATAATTTGAAAGTTAATAGTGGATGGTCAGACAGGAGCTTCTTATCCCCCATGTAACAAGCTTTCTGTAATGCCCCATTTATTTGTGATTTATTTGAAGTAATTATTATTATTATTATTATTATTATTATTATTATTATTATTATTATTATTATTGTGATGTTATTATTTATATTGAATGTCTTAATATTATTTGCCTAATTGTGATTAAGTGCTCATTGTCTAAATGTCTAAATGATTTATATTTATTATTTATGATGTGTAAATATGTATTAATATATATGTAAAATATATTTATTATTCGGTTTATTTTATCGTGCGTTTGATTTTATACTGAGCCCGAGAATATTTGCGCAAATCGAGTCATTTTATTTTGGCAAATAAATCGAGAGTTTGAGCCCGAGAGAACTGTATGTATTGAACCGGTGCCCCGGCCCACAATAGCCCGCGACCCGAGTTGGGCCCGGCCCGACAGATTTCCCTCCCTCTTTATTTTCACGCGTGGTGTGTGCGTGTGGGATTTTTTTTCCTTGTGATTAAAGATAGTCAAACCTAGCATAAAGCCTATATATACAAGTGTTGTATCTATTCTCTCCTTCTCAAATCTCTTTCCCGCAGCCAAATCTGTTCTCCCTCAGCACGCAAACTCTCGCTCTCTCTTCTCTCGCGCAACCAGGAAGTCGATCGTCTCTTCTCCTCTTTTGTTTACTCGCGTCGCAGATCATCATCCTCACCTCCCCTCTGTTAAAATTCTGTCTCCATCGTCATCTCCTCCTTCACTGGAAATCCGCCGCGAGCACTCGTCGCAATTCCGGCGATTTCCGCCCGCTCAGCAACCGTTCGAGAGGTCCCAGTCACGCAGCGACTTCTCCAGGCGAGCCCCGACGGCGAGACCACCTCTGACCGTGAACCTTCTGTCGACCAGCGTTTCACCGCGCCGCGCTTAGGACCTCCGCCGCGCCGCGTCATCACAGCAGGAACGCCGCCGCGCCGCGACGCCCTCTTCTGCCACGCCGTGAGCAGCCTTCGCGCCGCGACACCCTCTGCCACGCCGCGAGGAGCTCCTTTTCCGACGAGCAGCACCACTGTTCGTGAGCTTTTTCCGGCGAGTTTCTTCCTCCGCGAGCAGCAACGCCACCCTCACCACCTGCAAGCTTCTCCGGCGCATATCCTGTGCGTGCAGCCGTCGTTCACGAAGGTCCACCGGCTGCCGGTCTCCTTTCGCCCGCAAGCCCGACGAACCTGCTCCTCCGCCGTCCATTCGTAAGCCCCGCCGCTACCTCCCCGCGAACAGCCGTCGGCGAGCACCTTGTTCGTGAGGCTCAGCCACCGTCGACCAGCAGCAGGCCCGCCGCTGTGTCCTGAGCCGCAGCCGCTGGTCCCTTCTGGCGAGACGCGAGGAAGCCATCGAGCTCTTTCGCCACCGTTCGCCGTCGAGCCCGTTCGAACCCATTCTCGCTCGTTTCCCGAGAACGGTATCGATTCTCGACTCCTCGTCTATCTTACGCTAATATCCTTGTGGTTGTGTCTTTCGGTTTTGCGTGAGTGTATGTGTGTTCATGTCGATTGAGGTGTTCGGATGTACTCATGTTTAATGTGATGATGTGCATATTATATAGTTGTGAATTTTATGCCGAACTCGTCGATTCGTGCAAATCGAGCGAGAACTGAGCATAAATGATGAATTGCTGTGGATTTAGAAACCTAGGATTTTTACGAACACAATGGCGTTGACCTTGTGTCGATCGGACATGTAGATTGATAGTTATGATTTTTCGAAAGTTATAATTGCTGTTTAGATTGAAAAATTCATTATAAATCGAATACTGGTCCGATTTCCTTGAAATTTTAGGAGCAGCTGTGTTTGGTGAGTATGTAGCTGCTGTAAAAGTTTCATGATTTTTAAAGGTGTTTAGCTATTTTTAAAAATTAATTCGAATTCTGTTCAGTTTCTTTCAAAATTCATAAGTAATTGTGTAGTGTTCTTTTCTGGCTGATTTTCGAATATGTTGTGTCTCAGGCATGATTATATGTTGTATAAAAATTTTAGAATTTTTGAACTGGGCTTGGTAGAGTTAATGATTTATTTTGTGTTTCTGCTCGATTTTGTTTTAATTGTTATAAATTGTACTGAAGCTGAAAAATTCTGAAAATTTGTGGAGGTGCTTATTATGTAATGTTCAGCATGCTGTAAAAAGTTTAGAAATTTTGTAGTTCAGTTGAGGTCGGTTCTGTTATAAGTGCAATACTTGGCTGAATGTTGTTTTAATTTTGTAAAATCACTTGCTGAGTGTTAAAGCCTGGTATTTTTATATGTTGCTGTTCCTATGCTTTAAAATTTTAGATAAAAATTTCGTGGCCTGAATCATCCATTATCATGTGCTCTTAATTTAAACTCGCTTTTGTTGGAAAACTTGTCTGAATTTTATAAAATCATGTACAATGAGTTGGAAGCTGAAACTTGGCCATTTTTCTTAAAACTAGGAGGTGAATTTTGTGTAAAATTTTCAGAGCCTGACTCATAAGTTTGATATGCCTTCAAGTTCAAGTGGGAATTTGAGAAATTGTTTTTCTATACTAAATGTGTTAAATGTTGATGACCAAATGTGCCATGTGTTTTGCTTGTGGCTCGTTTGTTGTCTTTTACTTGCTTTTGTGTGAACTCGAATATGTGGTTTGATCGAGTCTAAGTCCTAGTGTTCCCATATCCACAGAACTTCACGAACCACTTGGTCGAACCGAGTTCGGCTAAGTCAACTTGTGAATTTGCTACATAGGTCTAGATTAAAGTGTTGACTTTAGTATCTGGACTAAATGTAGGTGTCGAGAGGTGTTGAACCTCGCCTCGTCTCGAGATTTGTGATTTGAACTGTAGCTGCTATCAAGTGGGTACATTTATGATGTATTCCATATTTATCGCACTATTTATTTCGTATAATGCTTCTTTTGAAAAATGATGTATGCGTGAGAACCCTAGTTTAAGTGTCCCGTATGTTAGTGCCTTTGAGGATGCATAAACAGTGAGAGGTCATCGGCCCGTAGATTCGGAGAGGTGACGCCCAGGTCCGTATGATATTCGTGAATGAGAAAAACATCTCTACCGTCTCCTGGAAAGGGTCCCAGGCCCGTAGCCATTCGGTGATGGGAAGGTTTCCAGTTACTTCCTTGCCGTGTGTGATCGGAAGGTTGTTGTATGTACATAGGAGGTTTGCGATAGGGCCAAGTAGGGAGTTAGACTGTTGTATTCTATGCATACTGAATACCGTGGTTATGATGGTTTAAAATGTTATGCGAGATATACTGTGCGATAATGGTGAGCTTGTTGGTTATGCTCACCCCCATTATTTTTCTTTGTTGTGCCTTCTCTTCCTTTGCTTTAGGTTGAGACGAGCTGGAGGCGGTGGCGTAAAGACGAGCGAGATGGTGGTCATTTACTGGATGTGTCTTTGCTTCCGCTTAATTTTATTTTTGTTAAACTACTTGCTTTTGTTTTGGATTGTTAATGCTTCTATCGATTTGGATTATTTATTTCTTCTCTTTTGAACTATGTTTGAGTTACGTTTGATCCTTGATTTATGCTAGACGATTGAGAATGATTTGTAGACTTATGTTCTTTCATGGGATTGGTTATTTTGATAGTTCGAGCAGGTGTAGGTTCTTTGAATGATTAATTGTGTTGTTTGTTGTTATTAATAAGTAGCGCCCGGTTCTCATTAAATGTTTTTAATTTGGATCTAAAAAAAAACTCTGATTTTTATTCAAATAAATTCGGTAAATTCTTTAAAATAAAACGAGGCGTTACAGTTTGGTATCAGAGCCAGTCTTGCTTTTTTGTAGACTGGTTCATATTTGATTAAGTGTTTAATGACCATTCGACCGCTCGCTTCGTCACGCCTCGCCAGCTCAAGGTATGAGTTTATTTGTTTTGATTCTTAATAACGTGATTATGGTTTG